ATAATCTACATTAGCAAGTTTATGATATAGCCAAATGATGATGTACAGATGTGGATAAGGCCTTAGTTCTAACTAGAGTGATTTTGTTTATTTGCTTAACTGGCTGAATTAATGCAAGTTCCAGAATGGAAGAAAAGTCACGTACGCTAAAACTCAAGGGTATATAGATTCTGCAAAAGAATCTTTAGTTCTAAGAAGGGCTGCCACGTTTAGCGGAAACGCTGCTTTATTGAAGGAGCTAAGCTCTCTGTAGATATACACTTTTAATTGCACAGCTAAAAGACAGCAAAATACATAAAGGTGGAATTTAAGATAAACCTTGGGCAGAGAATGCAATAAATCAGTTGGTGATGCTGCCGAGGGCACTATTAGACTGTTCCAATTTGTCACCCGGCAGGTTGCCTTGTATGTTACTTTTGAGAGACACAGGTGTGCTATCAGGAGTCATAGAGTGAAGATGTATGTCAGGCAAAACCTTAGAAGCGGTTCCAGAGGTCTTGTATTTTCTTTCAAGGACTAATGGATATTCTGATTAACAGGTGTATCCCCGAAACATTAGCTGCATACACACCATACATTAAGAGCACATTATTTTCCTCAAGGAATCCTGGGAACTATAGTTTATCCCTCACAGAGGTATCATTCCCACTGCACTTAACAAAACTACAGCTCTCAGGATTCACTGAGGGAAATAATGTGCTTTAAATGTATGGCGTGTGGATGTGACCAATGCTAAAAAACCACAGGGGAAAAGTAGCCTCAGAAGTTTAAAAGCCTGAGAAAATAAGAAAGATGGCTTTTCCTGAGGGGAGATGTGTACAAATAGAAGACTCTCGACTGGGAAGACTCCTTCTATAGTCACTGCATCCCTCTGAAAGGCACCCAGAGAAGGGTCTCCAAACATGATCACCGTGCTGTTGGGCACCTGGGTCTCAAACCATCCAAATGCTGTTGGACTTTTAAGTCCCATCAGTACCAGTCAGTGTGGCCAGTGATGAGGGATGATGGGAACTGGAGTTCCATGAAATCTGGAGGGGCCACAGACTCCTCTTTTTTAGGTCTTTAAAGGTACCTGCACCTCAAATCGTGCCTGGAAACGGTCTTCTTGCTGAAATCCCCTATTCTATTAAAGCTTATTCAACTTATGGAAGCTGCAGGAGCCTGTCTTCTTTGGCATCTGGCCTCTCTATCCCTTACTTTTAATCTAGCTTTGTCATAGCTTGGATTTTTCACAGGCTAATGCAGTGTGTGTGTGTGTGTCTGTCTGTGTGTGTCTGTGGGGGGGGGGAATAATTCACAATTCATCCACTCTCTCCCCCTCAACTCACATAATCAAGCATCTTGCAGCTGAAACTACTTGTCAGGGGGAAACAAAAATCACATACTTCACTTATGCATGTTTAAGCAGAATTCTTAAATGTAAAGAAGGAGAGCGAGCAAGAGAGAGAGAAGACTTGAATGAGAGTAGGAGGCTGTTGAAAGCAACTTTTGAGCGCTAGTGAAGTCTTTTGTCTAAACATGTAAAGATGGAGCCCAGTTTCCGAATGCGTGATGAGGGGAGGGAAGACATGAAGCAACAGCAAACGGAGGGAAGTCAGGGAAAGCAGAAAATGCCTTTTAGAGGTTGAAATTCCTTTAGATGAAACTTTCCAGTCTCCAAGAGTTATGCTAGGGCTACCAACAAAAAATCATTATGACCAAAGCTGAAACTTGAACCTTAGCTCATCCATCTATCTGCCACCTCCTTGTGTTCTCCTCTCACTGTCAAGTTTTATACTTCAAGACCTTTGGGGGCAGGAACTTTTTATGTTGCAAAGTACCTGACATGGTTTAAATATACTGGCTCTGTCTGTAGATCACTGAAGAGCCATTTGAGATGTTATAGAAATGCACATAGTCTCACGAAGCCAACAGGAATGTACTGGCTTATGGCCAGATACTTCTGCGTACTTGAGGCATGCACTGCAGTGGGGTGGTTCTGTCATAACAGACTAGTTTCATCTAGTACTGTGGAAAAAAATATTTAATATTTATCTATTGAATGTATATCCCGGAGCTACCACCTGAAGAAGTCTAGGGCAGCAAAACTTAAAGCAAAAACAAAACATGATGTGTACATTTTTAATAGATCTTATATTTTTTAAAAATTCCATTAATGTTTAATTGTTTTTTAATGGCTTCAAAAATATTTTTAGCTGTTCTTATTTTATCTGTAAGCTCCCTGGAGTCCCTGTCAGGGGAAAAAGGTGGGATATAGATAAATAAGATGATGATGATGAATATAAAACAGTTAAAACATTTTTAAAACAATTGGTCAAAAACATTCTAAAAGCAGACACAGCTGAAAACATTATTCCACCCTGTGATCCAGGGCAAACAACTATGGGTGGTGGAGTGGGTGGTTAAGGTGCAGAAATTTTGCTATGGCGACCCCCACCCACCAGAGTCATGCACAAACCACAGAAAAGAACTGCTTGAATGCCTTAAGGCCCCCCTCTCTGTCTGAGTTCTGGGTTCCCTTTGCTAATTAGGTCTCTCCCCCCCCCCAATAAAAGAGTTCAACCAAACAATCCAGGCAGACTCTTGCACAACGTTCCTGTGCTAACTTGAAACCTTTTCGACAAAACTCTTATATATTTTGTTGAAGAGCAGCAGAAGAAAAAAGTAGCAAAATCTAAGGTTTGCCTAGGCATTTCGTTACCGGAGAGGTGATATTTAGAAAGCTACAGCCAGTCCATCCTCATGTTTTCTGCCAGAACAATTCAAACCCACCATCCATTCTTTGGAAGGCTTTTCCTTTTCCTTAACCGTATCAAAGATGTATGCATACAGAAAGGAGTTTCAATTCCCACGTTAAGACCTGATGCAGTTGTTAAGCAACGAAAGCAATTCCTTCCTGGTCCAATTGTTGCTTACTTAAACTCCCCGAAGCAGGGGGATTGATAGCACTTGTGATTTTATTTAATAGCAATCAATTTAAATGGCCTGTCTTAAAAACAAAAAGGAGGGTTAATGAAGGTAGAGACTTTACATTAAGCAGATCAGAGCATCTCCGGGTTTCATGCTAACGGCAAACAGATCGATGGCGACTGTGAGGTGTAATTGGAAATGTAGGAAAACTGAAAAACAGCCCTACAGAGTAAAGAGTAATAATACTCACTGCTGACTCACAGCACAATCCAGGTACATCGATGGACCCAAATTCAAGCTGACATATTCCTATTGACTTCATGAGACTAATGATTGGTTCACATGATCATCTTGGTTCGTATCAGCTTGGCGTAAGTAGGAAGGCTTTAGCAACGTGGGTTATACTTTGTGGATATATCAGAACAGCCGTATGACTTGTCTTCTGTGTGTGGTGTCCAAAGCATGCCCCTTTCTCATCTACTTCTCCAATAGTAGAAGTGATCACAGTTAATCTCCCACACTATCCCAGCCTGTATGATATTGGAACGGCTGCAGGTCGCCAAGATAGCAAGAATGATGCAGAGAGAGAGAAGTTGCACCCTCTAGATCTAAGGCCAACCATCCCAGTCAACCTCACGCTGTGTTGTGAGTAGGGATGTGGAAAGATGTAGCCCTCAATATGACGTTGGGTTCCACAATCCCCAGCTGTCATGGTCATGGACAGTATGGGAGTTGTCATGGGATAATATGGAGGCCTCATGGTCCCTGTCCCTCATATATATTCTGCAATCTGCATGGTCAATTGCTGGAGATTAGCAATAAAGAAAGACTACCATCTTCATGACTCTTATGTGATGTCCCCTGAGATGTTGGGCTACCATTGTATAGAATGCTGTGGTCTGAATCAGCACTTTTTAAGCTCTAAGAATCCAGTTGTGCTTTGTGCAGCCTTGGCTAAATTTGTGCTCTCCAGATGTTTTGGACTACAACTCCCACCATCCCAGTCAGCACATTGTATTATGGGAGCTGTAGTCCAAAACATCTGGAGAGTACTGGCATGGCAAAGGCTGCCATAGTGGATCTCACTGCAGCATTATTAAAATAACACATGCATACCTCATAATGAAAGATAAATTGTTCTGGTGAACCCTGCTTTAGCCGACAAATACCTAGACTAGATTCCCATTATAGATACACAGGCAAGTATATTTTGTTTGCCGACTTCCCCTGCCACAGAAGTCTGTTCTGTTTATTGATTGCCCCTGAGATTGTGTGACACAGAGAGAACACTGGGTTGTAATATCTTCACACACAGGCTAGCCTTTGAATATTAACCATCTGTAACATCTATATGCGAGGCAGCCAAAATGCAACATAAAATTAAATGTGCACAAGTGACAGCGCACTATGGCAGCTGCAGGAAAATTGGTTGTGTCACGTCTTCACTGGTTATTGCCACTTATAAGGAATGCAGGGTTATTTCCGAAGCTCTGCGATAAGCTCAAAACACAGACATTGCACCAATTCAGTATCTGGATATCATTTTCTCTTCAGAGGCTCCCCAGAGATCAATCTGAGGGAAATGTACAAGCTTCCCATCCTGCTAATACATAAAATAGCCAGATGGAACACGAAGCTAGAAAAGATAGGGGGCTTCTTCTGTCTCCGTGAATCAGTTTCAAAGGTTTGGTCCAGTCTCGTTTTCTTTGACTCCATTATTATTATTATTATTAAGGTAGTAACAAGGCACTTTCCCTCTTCTTCTTTTTGCTTACTGAAGCTGAGTGCTACCCATTAAGATAGTCCTAGGGACACTTCACACATTAATTCTTTTTTCCAGGAATTTTCTCATTCAGATTCCGACTCTCAGATGCACAGCACAATCTGCTCCCCTCTTTCTAGCCTTACTGGAAATCACAGAAACATGGCCTCACTTATGATGAAAAGTGGAGACAGCCAGATGGAATTTTCTGCCAAAGGTGAGGGAGAGATAGGAACACAGACACTAGCATCATCTAGCTCCCTATTGTTGACACTGACTGGTAGCAGCTTTCCAGGGTTTCAGGCAGAAAATCTCTCCCAAACTGACCTGGAAATGCCAGAGATTGAACCTGGTGCCATCTGTAAGCAAACATGTGCTCTGCCACTGAGCTACGTCCCCTTTGGCCACACAAAGAGCTCAATCTCCTTCCTTCCTGCTGGTCATGTTTACCTCAGGATCCTGGCTGGGGAGCAAATGAAGCCCAACCCCCCTGACTCCGTCTACTAGTGATCTGCATTAAACTGCCAGTGAGGTGTAAATGAGAGCAACAGCCCTCCCAGCCAGTCTTTTCAGGTACCCATTAACAGAGAACTTGTGAGTGGAGAATTTGCCCAGGGTTGCCCATTTTCAACGGGCCCCATCCTCCGACTGGTTTGTTTCATTTGTACTGACTAATTTGTGCAGGCAAGTCACTGCTTGATGCTATTCTTACAGGACTCCTAACTCTGGGGATGTTTTTGAAACATCTACAGCAGGGATGAGGAAGCTCAGGTCCAGGGGCTGGATGTGGCCCTCCAGGGCTCTGCCTGGCCCTTGAGATTATCCTCCAGCTGCCCCCCTCCTCAGCCACCACCCCTCCATTTTTCAGGCCAGACCCATCACTAGCCCCGTTCCACACCTTCCTTGACTATTTTTGTCTGAATGGAAAGAGCCATTGAACTTTGATCATGCCAGACTGGAGTACAGAGAGGGGTGAAACTTGTCTGCTGTGCCTGCTGTGGCCTGAGAATGTGTGAACGTGGCCCCAAAGTTGAAAATGTTCCTCCACTCTGACTATTGATTCTAGTGAGACTCACTAGATGCAGTCCAGGATAACAAGCTTCAGGTGGAGGGCCTGCAATGCTCACCTGAGAGGAGAGATAAGCATGAAAAATCTCCACTCAGATTAAAAATCCAGCCCTGTCTTCTCCTTCTCCTACCTATTCAGCTCCCAAACTCCTTTCCAAATCTCCTCCCCACATCTTTTATAATCACACTTCCCTGGCTGGTATTTTATAACTGTGGTCTCACCCCAGGGGAAAATGTTTTTGTTTAGGGATGTACCTCAGGAAATTTTCCAAGCTAATAAGACATGAAGCCAGGACTCGCTCAAGATGTTTTGCTGTGTGAGGCAAAGGGCAAGATGGTGCCCTGTCAGTTGAATCTTCAGCCCTGGTAATGGGACTGCATCCTCCACTGCTCCTGAGGGTGTGCATGGCACACACAGTTCTCTCTGCCAACCCTTTGCTGCAGCTGCTCTGCACCTGCTGCCTGAGGTGCCACATGGACCCAGAGGAAGTCCCCTAATTCTCTCCACAATCTCTTCCTTCATGGCCCCTTAAACCATTTAGCATAGCTGACAGAAGATAATTAAGTGCCTCAGAATCTGTCCCGCTCTTAAAAAGTGCTTCCAAATATGCTTTCTATGGGCTTCTGTTGTTGATCTTACTCCATTTCTTCTAGTTCTGCTGCTTTCTGAAGATCCAAAATAGCTCCTATTTATCTCCTCATGGTGTTTATTCCCTTCCAACCATCTGCCAGATGGTTACATTCTACTCCCACCACTCAAATGTGAATATTTCCAATTTTTTGGCAGACTTGCCCAACAACATGTCTTGGAAAAATGGATTATTCCATTCCCTTATTGTGTCACCTGGTTTTACTTTATATATATATATATATATGGGGGGGGGGGGAACCATAAGAGGAAATTATTACTTAGAGGTTAGTCTCACACCTGACCTTTTATCAAGAACCTGAGAAAGAGTGACAATCTCTCCTTCTGGAAGAGGAAGCGAACTGCTTTTTAATAACTTGTCATGCCAGGAAATGAAATGAAGCAAATGGGCATTTTATCTGATTAGCCATGCAAACCTGCTCTTAACATTTAATTTTTAAAAAAGAGAGGAAAGAAGGATAAGTTGAATTGCAGTGTTCTATAGAGATCCTATTCTTCAAGGAATGAGGCTCTTGATGCTGAATGCTTTTTACTTTGTTCGTTTGCAAAATTGCAAAATTTTGGTTCCCAAACTCTTTGGCATCTCCTGAGAACAAGGTGCTGAAAGTATCTGGGTTCAGCACGAGATATGGGAAAATGTAATTTGAGGCTCAAATGTTTTACAATAATATTGAGATTTCGCTACTGTTTCTCCCTTGCACCAATGCTCTATATTGGGGTGATATACCAGAATGGCATGTTTCACAACAAAATCATATCACCATATGTGATCCAGACAAATTAAGTCATTTTGAAAACACACCATAAATAACATGCATAAAATCAAGGCGCCAAGAATATTTGGGATGAGTTATTTTGTACAGGAGGTGCTGTGCATAGTGTTGGTAGCAGAAATTCTCTGGGGTTCAGTGACCTGGTCAGAAGAATAATCCATTAGAAAGACTCTGTGGCACACAGACAAACAAGCCCTTCAAATTAACCAGACAGTTTAGATCCCTCTCTAATCAATATTGCCTTGCCAGAACCTGCAAATATTTGATTATCTAACAAATTTACTTTAAAACTCCCTCGTGGGACATGGGGCTTCATTTTGCTTCACCTCAGTAAATAAAGGGGGATTGCTTATTGTTTGCAATACGATGGTGAGTGCCTATTCTGGACAAACACAGCTTGTGGAGAATTTCTTTGTCAGGCTTCCTGGTGGCCTTGTTGCTAGGCAACAGGAAAAGCTACTGTAATATTGCCTGAGCTTAGTGGAATATGCTGTTAATTGCCAGTGTCAACTGCCCTGGGTGATAGCCTGAAGTCTTCCAATTTGCAGTGAAACAGGCTATGCTGTGTCCATATTAGTACTGAGGGCGCTTGGGCTGAAGATGTTGTTGTTGAAACAGTTTCTAAGACTGGTGTGGATTTAAGACTGGAATAGGAAGATCTGATGCACCATTTACTTTAAATCATTATTGCACCAATGAAAGGATATATCTATAGTCACAGTAAACGCCAACAAGCTGAACAGCATTTTTTCCCCTTAAGGAGACAAAACTCTGGGAATTGTAGTACTGTGATGGAGGCTAGGATTCATGAATAGAAATCCCAACACCCTCACCAAATTATACGTCTTGGATTCTTTGGGAGGAGCCATGTTGATTAAACTGGTAGGATACCATCTTTGAAAGTTCTGGTCTTAACAGGTGATAGAGAAATTTTCTATTGGCAGCCACTCATCTATTTGTCATAACTGGAAGAAGATAAGGGCTCTGACACCTGAAGACTGCAGAACCAATATATGAGACATAGTAAACATGGTAAAATAGTGCAAGAAAATGTAAACTCATATACACTGCTAGGTATATTGTAAAATATTTATCTCTATCACCCTTAATAAGTTTCTGTAGTGATTATTTACTTTTTTGTTTTGTACTCCTTTTTCATTGCCTTGTACGCATTCTCACTAAGTAAAAAAGAAAAGACCTTTAGAATGTACTCTGAACTATGTACTGGAGACAATACATTAAACTATGTTCGTTTTTTTATTAAAAAGAAACCTGGTAAGAAACCAATAGATATTTGTAGTGCAGCTTTGAATTGGACTGAATCTTTTCACTTCTCTCCCCCCAACTTTTTGTGGGAATGGGAAGGAAATTCCCTCCTAAAGATGTAAAGATCTTCTTTATAAGCTCCAGACTTATAAAGCCCTTTTTCACGTGGTGGTGGTAGTGGCAGTGTTAGGGTAAATGAAACCAGAATATGAGGTGCCAGTGGATTTCTTTCTTTCCCTTGTGTTTTATTAACATTTTGAAAATGTTTTATAAAAGCCAAGCTGCCAAGCTGAAGACATTCACTTCTTCAAGAGAATGCCCAGTGGGAAGGGTGACACTAATAACAAGGAAAAGAAAGAAAGGAGCCCTCAGAACCTTGTATTTTATTTTCAGTTACAGTAAGGACACCTCTCCCACCAAAACAAAACAAAACAAAAAAAAACCACACAGAAGTCTTTACAATTTGCCTCCTCAAAGTCCCACTTTTATGCGGAGCAAAGAGCCCTGTGCAGTGATGGTGGGGATTTCTGGCATAGTCTAAGAAGAGCTTTGCTGGATCAAGCCATCTAGCCCATTCCCACAGTGCCTCTGGGAAGTCTGCAAGCAGGATTTAAATGTAATGACACTCTTCTACTCTTTTTCTGCAGCAACTGGTCTTCAGGGGTGTATTGCCTCAGACAGTGGAGGCAGTAGACATTAAGCTCTGTTCTCCAGGAATGTATCTAAATGACCTTGTAAAGCCATCCAAGTTGGTGGTCATCAGTGGCATAGCATGGTTTGCCGGTGCCCAGGGCACATGTGTGTGTGTGGGACAGGGGGTTGGGGCTCAGAGGGTGAATGGAGCCTGCTGCATCAGCCCAACCCTCACTATGACCGCCACTGGAGCAACCCCCACCTCCCCCGAGTCAAGTTCAAATATATAAAAGGATGTCACATAGAGGAGGGAGAAAGGTTGTTTTCTGCTGCTCCAGAGAAGCAGACACGGAGCAATGGATCCAAACTACAAGAAAGAAGATTCCACCTAAACATTAGGAAGAACTTCCTGACAGTAAGAGCTGTTCGACAGTGGAATTTGCTGCCAAGGAGTGTGGTGGAGTCTCCTTCTTTGGAGGTCTTTAAGCAGAGGCTTGACAACCATATGTCAGGAGTGCTCTGATGGTGTTTCCTGCTTGGCAGGGGGTTGGACTCGATGGCCCTTGTGGTCTCTTCCAACTCTATGATTCTATGATTCTATGAAGTGGGGCTTCACTCTGCTGCCTGCCCATCCGAGAAGTGGGGATCCCAGCCGGTCGACATGGCCCTTGGCAGGCGAATCCCCCCATTGTTTTCTCCTCATCCAGCCCCCAGGCAACAGCCATGCACCCTTTGATCCCAGCTTCGCAAAGCAAGTAAGAGCCAAATGCGCAGCACCCCCTAAAAAATGTGTCCATGGCCATCGCCCCAGCAACCCCCTCACTACACTTGCATGTCATCCATGCAAATTCCATCCACTCATGAAGAAGTGCTTCCTTCTGTCTATCCTGAATCTTCGAACACTGGATATCACTAAATGATCCCTGATTCTCGTATTATGACAGGAGCAAAGAAACTCCTCTCAATCCACTTTTTCTAATTTTATATGCCTGCCCTTACTCGCCTTACAAATAATTGATAATTATCACTATTCAGCGTTGTATCATCCTTTTCGTACTCGGTCCTTAGATCTTTATTTATTAATTATGACATTTATATCCCTCCAAGAACTGAGTTACTTATTAATTATGCATGCATGCTATTTCCTCCAAGGAGCCCAGTGGCACAAATGGCTCTACACACTCTCAAGATGATCCTCACAATAGCCCTGTGAGGTAGGCATAAGCTAACGGACTGTGAATGACCCAAGGCCTTCATGGCCTGATGGGGATTTGAACACTAGTCCCTCAGGTCCTAGTCCACTAAACCGCACTTCCTTCTGAAATCAGAACACATCTCTTGTGTCAAATGTGGAAGGTAAAGGTAAAGGTAAAGGTACCCCTGCCCGTACGGGCCGGTCTTGACAGACTCTAGGGTTGTGCGCTCATCTCACTCTATAGGCCGGGAGCCAGCGCTGTCCGCAGACACTTCCGGGTCACATGGCCAGTGTGACAAGCTGCATCTGGCGAGCCAGCGCAGCACACGGAACGCCATTTACCTTCCTGCTGGTAGGCGGTCCCTATTTATCTACTTGCACCCGGAGGTGCTTTTGAACTGCTAGGTTGGCAGGCGCTGGGACCGAACGACAGGAGCGCACCCCGCCGCGGGGATTCGAACCGCCGACCATGCGATCGGCAAGTCCTAGGCGCTGAGGTTTTGCCCACAGTGCCACCCCCATCCATACCAAATATAGCATTATTATTATGTCTCAGAGTGTCTCTCTCTCTCTCTCTCTCTCTCTCTCTCTCTCTCTCTCTCTCTCACACACACACACACACACAGAGTGGTGCTGTCTTAGGATCAATATTGCAAGGCTATTCTCCTTGTGTTCCAGCATGCCTCTCCAGTTTCTCCTTGGCACTGGCTCAGAATTACCTGTGATGCAAGAAAGTCTGTTTATAGCACCTGCCCAAAACAGGATAAAGAAATACAATAAGCAAATAGCATCTGTGCCTGTGCATCTTAAAGCCTGGCACTAGAGCACAAAGCTTCTTGGATTTCCAGGTGAGCAGATTGGTGAGGAGGAGGGGTGGGTACCACAGCCATCCAATCACTGTGCCTCATCCCCCTCTTTTTTTAACAGAAGCCTTCACTGAGGCTCTATTGCAGCAGTTCACATGAGGGGAGAGAAATTGCTGCAACTTTACCCATTACATTTTTTGGCAGTAGCAGACACATTTGCTGTGTCTATTCATAAGGTAGAAGCTGCTTCCATGCTAGAGCCCTTTAGTATCCTTTTTTTCACAGTCCGCTGGAAGCAGCATTAAAGCTGTGCTTTGTTTATCTACAAATACTTGCCACTAGCACCTTCTGCAAAATTCTGGCAGAACTTGGGCTGAGCCAGAGTATCAGGTACAAAATTGGGGCTGTGCAGCGTGCAAAAATAATATGCAGGTCCAAACAGCAAGTGGCACAATGCAGTTAATCAGCCAAATAAAGTGTACAGAAACTTGTATATTATGGCAAAATGTAGATGAGGTGCACCTATTAGTGAAAAATAGCACATTTAAATGCATTGTATTAGGGAACATTTCTTGTATACATTTTCCAGGCAAAACTGCATACAAAAAGGTCTAAATTACAAGATTTTTTCAGGCAAAACTGCATACAAAAAGGTTTAAATTAGAAGAAATTTGCACTAAAATGCTGACAAATTTTCACGAGGACTTTTAGAAAACTACAAACTGATGCTGAATTGTGGAGAACTGAACTGAAGAATGGAGAACTGAGAAACTCAGAGTAACAAAATTGAGAGAATCTTCTATCCCCAACTATGCTTTTCAATTTTGTTCTCTAGTCCACTGTATTACCATAGAGGTGCATGGTTGCCAGTGGTATAAGCAAGTCCAAAGTCTTGCTTTTTTGAATCCAGATTAGTTAGCTGAAGACTATATATGCACTATAACTTTACAGCACACACACCCCGGCAGCAAAGAATTCTGGGCACTGTAGTTTGTTAAGGGTCTCTGTGTAACTGTGGGTTCATCCACACTCCTGTTTGTCGTGTGCTTTCTAGGCTCAGGTCTTAGAGGGTTTTCTTTCACCCCACTGCTTTCTCAGGGAAAACCCACTGATTACTGCTGAATTGGAACAAACATCAATTGGGTTTTTTTGCAGATTGCCGTTCTGATTCAGCAGTAAACAGCAGGTTTTTCCAGGGAAAGCAGTCAGACCTGCACCTACAAAGCTCAGGACAAACAGAAGTAAACGTGGAACAAGCAGGATTGTGGATGAGCCCGCTTGTGAGGGGTAAATTACGGTGCCCAGAATTCTCTGAAGGGGAAAAGTGTGTTTCAGGTGTGTTTTAAAGGTATAGTATGTACACAGCCAAAGCTTCTGGGGCCTTTTGGATAGGTTGCTAGATCCATGCTCCCTTTGCAGTGCTGGTGCACACTAGACTCCACTACCCACATCTGACAGGTTCTATGGTAAGCCAGCACAACATGTGAGCTGCATGTTGGTTGCAGACACACACACACCCCTTGACTGTTTGCTGCTCTGGGATGATCCTACAAAACCCCTTGTTTGCAGTTTCCTCCCACATCTTTGTCAGAACATCAAAAGCTGAAGGTAGGATAGAGTGGAAGTGAGATAACTCTCACATTAGAATGTCCCTAGTGCTCATCCTCTCCATGAATTCAGATGACTTTATGGTGGGGTTGGCACCAACTTCTCCAGCCTGCCAGCCAGCCATGCTGCATGCACAGCTGCATCATAGCACATTGTGAGCTGTTAGGGGAGTGAACATAGGAAGTTATATTGAATTAGACCATTGGCCTAGATTGCTCAGTATTGTCTACAGTGACTGGCAGAGGCTCACCAGGGTTCCAGGCAGGGATGTCTCCCAGCCATACCTGGAGATGCTGGGGACTGAACATGGGATCTTCTGCATGCAAGGCAGATGCTCAACTACTGAGCTATGACCTTTCTCCTTAAGCCATCTGTATATTGTCCTGAGGTCAGTGAGGAGGAGAGGCAGAGGGGGACAGAAGCAGAGACAGAGAAAAAGGAAGATGGAACTGAGATGGGCTTGCAGAGACTTGTGGACTAAGAAAAGAGGAAAAACAATGTGAGTGTGCTGAGGGACCTGAGTTAGTGCAGGAAGAATAGTAACAGAGCTGTGGGATGCAGAGAGGAATGTGAGGTTGCTGAAGGATGTGTTGGTAGGGAAACAGAGAAAGTGGGAGGCAACTGAGAGAATGGGATGCTGAAAAAGATAATTCATGTTCTAAGGAATGGAGAAAGAAGGAGGGTTAACAAAAGGGAGGTGTGTTGTACAGTGCAAAGGGGAAAATGCACTTGGCACAGAATGGGTTAACAATTGAATTAAAAATGAAAGGAAGCATGCTTTTCCACAGCTAACTTAGCAACCTCTTATGATTTAAGGGACGTGAGTGGCGCTGTGGGTTAAACCACAGAGCCTAGGACTTGCCATTCAGAAAGTCGGCGGTTTGAATCCCCGCAACGGGGTAAGCTCCCATTGCTCGGTCCCTGCTCCTGCCAACCTAGCAGTTCAAAAGCACGTCAAAGTGCAAGTAGATAAATAGGTACCGCTCCGGTGGGAAGGTAAACAGCGTTTCCATGCGCTGCTCTGGTTCTCCAGAAGCGGCTTAGTCATGCTGGCCACATGACCTGGAAGCTGTACACCGGCTCCCTCGGCCAATAAAGTGAGATGAGCGCCGCAATCCCAGAGTCGGTCACGACTGGACCTAATGGTCAGGGGTCCCTTTACCTTTACCTTTAAGATGGTTTGTGTTGTGCACCCCTTCACAACCCCTTTGGAGGCTGGGGCAAAAAAAAAAGAAAAAGTGAAAATGCTGATTCATGGTGATGTTCACTGCTAATGGGAGGTAATGAGCCAAGCAAGATGAAGACCAGCTAGTCAGGATTTTGGGACAGAGAGCAAGGCAAGGCAAGTTCAAAACCTTGGACAAGGACCAAATTGATAGTTCAGGACCATGGCTAGTGGTCTTGCAGCTGAAGAAGAAGAAGAAGAAGAGTTTGGATTTGATATCCCGCTTTCACTCCCTTTAAGGAGTCTCAAAGCGGCTAACATTCTCCTTTCCCTTCCTCCCCCACAACAAACACTCTGTGAGGTGAGTGGGGCTGAGAGACTTCAAAGAAGTGTGACTGGCCCAAGGTCACCCAGCAGCTGCATGTGGAGGAGTGGAGACACGAACCCGGTTCCCCAGATTACGAGACTACCACTCTTAACCACTACACCACACTGAGGCGGAAGATACTTGTTATCTCAGCAATGTCTGGGTTTGCTTTAGGCTAGCTAGTCAAGATGGAAGCCTCACCCCATAAGTGTTGCATTTGACTAGTTAAAAGGCCTTTTCCTGCAGCCATTGGCTTTTTCTAGGCACTGGGGTTTCCAACTTTATGGAAAACTCCTCAGGGCTTCTCTGATCCTCCGAGGAGCCTGCAGTCCAGTCACTGGAGCTAGGTGGCAAAGGTTGGTGGTGGCAGAGATGTCTCATTGGGATACAGAGGATGAGGTATGATTTGCAGTGCCAGAGAAATCACATGGGAAGGGGTGGGAAGTGGGTCCTTCTCTTCCTTGGGGCTGTTCCTGTAAGAGGACTCTGCAGCTGGGGATTCCTGGATAGTGACTGAAGAAAATAAAGTAGAACAACATAAAAGAAAGAAAAGGGAAGGGAGGAAGAGGAAAGGGACAACATTTAACAGCAGAGCATCACACATCAACATGAACCTGGAGCTTTAGGGTGACATTGCCTTTTGGAATGGCAGGATAATTTTCAGGAACAAATTTGGCTATGTGGTGAAGAACAGCTCTTAGTGGAGGCTGAAGGAGCACATATCAGATCTTTTTAACCTCAGTCCATCTCTTTGTCCTCTAAACTGACCTACTTTTAAAGAAAACGAATAGAGGTAATTTTCACTGTAACTTTGCTATCTCCATGGAAACCCTTTCTAAGAAAAATGTTTATGAGATTGTTTTTGGGGAAAGAGCTATACATAGATGGAGCTGTGTTATACCTAATCACACAGATCATCTTCCTGCAGCAAGGTCCTGCTTTTCTTCTCTGGTAAGAGTCTGTGCCTGAGGCTTCCTTTGGGGGTAAGTGTGTGTCGTATTTGCTTAATGTCAGGAACCGAGAGTGGAGACAGAAATGCAAACATTAAATCACATCCTTCTTGTACAAGTAACAGAGCAGAATAGATTTTGCTCCTTTTCTTTATATTGACTTCCCCTAATTTACCACCCCACCCACGGCACCCCTTCACCATGCTGCTAATTGTCAGCTTGGTTACTCTACTATGCACAGGAGAAGCAAAGATAAATGGTTATGATGGTAAATGAATTGAATCTGTAATCTCCAGGTCCTAACTATTGGTGTGCATTTCAGTAAAGTGTTTGGGCATTGCTGTTCTGTGGTGGCTCTAGCATGACCAAAAGCACAGTTTGAGCCTGTACTAAAAACAAGCAGAGCTGATGAGCTTTCTCATCAGAGAAATTAACTGATTCCAGGACTATACATCAGTATCAAAACTGCATGATGGAGAAGAGGATAATGTGGATTGCTACCAAGGCTTCAGATTAGCACCAACTACAGCAGCAGTAAGATTGCACCCCATATCTCTTGAGACTGAGCTCTTGGCTCCCCTTTTGATTATCTGTGTTACAGTGCTTCGTATTTCCCACCCCAGATACTTGTGGCGTAAGATTAATAATTATTATTTCCATCACTGAAGTTATGCAGTGAAAGATATTTCGATTAAGCTTATGAATCTTAAAATATTTTGATAGCCCCTTCCCCCATTATATTAAACGAATCTGTCTGATTTGTTCAAATAAGAGATTTTGGGAGTGGTCAGTTTACATGAGAAGTGTATTGTGGTAGAAGACTTCAGTAAGAGGCAGTGGTAAACCAGCATCTTCTGAAAGCAGGGCATGCTTGGGATGGAGAAATCCCTGCTCGTGGAAGCTGCCACCAAGCCTTTCATAAGTATTCTCCTCCCATATGACACTTCTTGCACAAGCTTCTCATTGCACAAGTCAGAAACATTCCATAGTGCATAAACCGACTCTTCAGGACAGTGATCCACCTTGCGTTTGGGGTGAAATTACCACAATCACTCCTTGTGCCCACATCCTCTAGGGCTGGGCAAACGATAATGGCAAATAAATTATGGTTGCACATACTTAGACATAACAGATTGTGTGATATTATGCCTCCTGCACCAGCCTATAATTTATGGTTGCATCAGTGTATCTGCTTGATAAAAATCTAAATCAAGATTTCAAGACAATCCATCATACAACTTGGCAACTTGTTCCAAAGAATAACGATCAGGATCATTTAAAGTGTGTATTTGAAGTTCCATGCATAAAGGTTACAGAGCTGACCTCCTCCTTATTAATCTAGTTTACTAAAGGATACTTTGTGTTTCCCTCAGACTCATTATCACATGACATATTTATGCCAAACATGAACCGTGACTCAAGATGGAAAAGAGACCAGCGACTGATCAGGGATAATCACCCTGCCTCTTCTGTGCAGAGTTGCCACATCTTTTCTTTAATGTTTGAGAAACAGCAGAGCACATTTGTTGAAATGATCAATGAGACTGTGTCGGTAGCACAAACTTCAGAGGGGTTCCAGTCCAACTAACGACGGGGAACTGTGCCGAAGAAAACAAATCAATTGAGGCATGTGGCTTTTAGCAGAAGAGAGAGGCGATGCCAAGTAGCGTCAGATCTTCCTCAGCTTCTTTGATTGAGATTAGCTTCTAAAACAACACCATGCCTTTATTGCCAATTCAGGGAAACTGCAAACAAAAAGCAGGTGCTGCACAACAAAGTCTCCATATGGGGACATAAACATAAAAGAGCTGGGATTCAATAAGTAGGAAGTCAATGCATAATAAATATGTTAACCATTGGGTGTGAAGCTTTGGCTTCCATGGTTCTATGCTAGCAAATGAAAACAGGGCTAGGAAGATGAGGGAGAGGCAATTGGACCACAACAATAGTAGTAATGATGTTTATTCATTTGAGAAATGCATTACTCTGCTTTTTACTTTTGACTTAAAGAGGCTTATAGCAAAAAATTAACATACAATATACAAAATTTAGAACATCAATCAAGACATCAGAAAATAGAACACTGGAACAACATTCATGGGCAAAGGCCTCCTTAAATAAAACCATTTTAACCTGTTGCCTGAAACTTAGCAGTGAGAACAAATAGTGCGCTAGATGGATTAAGTGGTAGATACATGATGGAGTGATGGGAAGTCGACATAGATATAGGAAGAATTTATTGCAATCTGATGTAACAGTTACTACTGTTTTCTCTTTTTTTCTGGATAAATTTCTTGTTTGCTGTTTCTTTTTAATTTCAATAAAGCATTAATGTTTTTAAAAGAAATTTAGCAGTGATAGTCTGGTTTCTAATCAGAGTTTCATAGAGCTGGGCCTACTACACTGAAGGCACAACTCTTAGTTGACATGTGTCATGTTTCTGGTCCATGAAGGACCACTCATGTTGTTTCCCTAGACATGATCTCAGTGATCAAGTTGGGACATATGAGATATAATATGCCGTCTTCCCACCCCACTATCCACTACTGGCAAGTGAGACCAGTGACAAATAGTTGATCAAAATTATAGACTTATAATCATAGTTATTTATTTTCTCCATGGAATCCTGAAATTGCAGTTTAAGGAAAGGAGGAAGGCTGCCAAATTTTCAATATCCTCATCACACTGCAATTTCCAGAATTCGCTGGGCAAAGCCATGATGCCTGAGCTGATATCAAACCACCAAAGGTTTTACAGTATATTGCTAATATTTTAATTCACTTTCTTACTTTCAATTGTGTGAATTGTTCAGCCTGTTCAGATGTAATGATCTTGGTCTATTAAGCCATGGTTTATCGGACTGAAAATGAGCA